CTCTCAGAAACTAAATCTAGAGTTCTGAGCGTTCCAACAAGACTTTACACAGTGGAACACAGTGTAACGTCTCTGTGTCCTAGCTGGAAAACAGCCACTACTACGGCCATGTATCGATGTACAGGGTGTTGCAGATACATACTAGGCAGTACGACGGGTTGCGTGGTCAATTTTGCATGGGAAGACGCGGTTTTATAGACAATGACAGTGACTTTATAACATAAACTTTATAATATAAAGTCACTGTTAATGTATAATGTATAAAGTCACTGTCATTGTCTATTAAACCACTCTTGGCCATGCAAAGTTTGCCGCGCAATCCGTCGTACTGCCTAGTATGTATCTGCAATACACTGTCAATACTAAAAATCCATATATAGTTTATGTTACGACTATTACAGATTCTGGCAATATATATCAGTAGACTTTTATCTCTTTAGCAAAAAGTGGTGAAGCAGTTACACATATATGTGCAATATATGTATTCATATGACACATTTTGACACATTATGTAACCTAAAATGGCATTGGACCATAACGAAAAGTGCTACGACCGTGTATACTGCCAGTATAATCTATATTTTACGTCACATATTACAGATTTTTAGTACTGACAAAAATTAATGTGACTTAGAACGCAATCATATTTCAGACTGCGTTCTGTCTAAATGCTCACATATGTGAGCAAACCGAGCGACTGGAAACGGCGCACGCCTGGAAACAGCTGGAAACGTGAGTGCTCACAGCACTCATAGCGCATGCAAGTAATGAGAGCCTGAGCCTCCAGAGGGCGTAAGCGAACGGTACAAAATCGATTTTATCGACCTTGAATAACTTCGACCATTACTCCAGCATACCCTTAAGGTGATCCTAAAGCAAAGCTCGAACTCCGAAAAATCACTAGATGTCGCGCCGCGCGTCGCACATCGACATGTCTTTTTATACTACCACAGCCTATGATACACGCAGCCTATGATACACGCAGTCACACATACGTGTCAATTTTCGTACAACGAATTCGTCGCGATAAAGCGTCTAAATCTAATTCTAAAAACTCGACGTTGGATGTTCGTGCAAATTACGTGTTTGGAACTATTATTTCGTACGTTCGGGTTGCAAAGCTTTTATATCAAACAAATGTTGTCACGACTTGACAGCTGAGACGCCATGTTACACTAACAAATGGTAAAAAATATATTGATTTCGAAATTTTTGATCATTCTCAGCGTAGACTCTACTTCACAAACACGTATTAATGCATATACTTTAATCCTGGAAAAGGATTTTCCAATCCGTGAAAGAGAAAAAGAGTATTTGTTATACAAAAATTATACGTGTTTAAGTCGGTAATACAGATCTTTAGGATCCCCTTAACGCATTTAGTTAACTCTACTGATATGTAAACATACAACAGTATACAGATGACCATCGTCTGGACATTTACCATTGGTATGTTGACAATTTTATATTACTATTATAAGACGATGGGAGTGGTGGAGGGATTTATCATTTAGATAACTCTAGTGATATGTACAATTATAAAACGATAGAGATGATGGTGGGACTTTTTAAATTATATACAAACTTACTTTTTAAAAAAAAAAAGGTAAGAAAAGGCGTTAAGAGTATGCATGCTGTTCGAAAAAATTATTTATGGTAAAATCTAACCAAATTAAAATGTCAAACCCCCCTGGTAGCAAGCTGACGTCAAAATGACGTCATTTGACGTCAAAATGACGTCAAAATGACGTAGCTTGCTACCTGGGCCATGTGGTACCATCTTTATTAATTTAAATTCTACCAAATTGAAAAGTAAAATACAAGTGGTATTATTATTTTTGTTATTTACTTATCTCTAATGATATGTATCATAAGTATAAAATTTGATATCAACAACAGGCGTCAAGTTAAATTTCATCTATCAAATTAAAAAGTAAAACACAAATGGTACTGTTTCTTGTTATTTATACAAACTTATCTTTTTAAAAAAAGATAAAAAAAAGCGTTAAGCGTGCTTTTCGTAACAATTATTTGGGCCGGTTTCACCAATGCCAATTACCTAATTCGCCGTGGAACTGAATAATCGCGTTTGCTGTTTAGTGGAATTGATCACTTATAGTTGACACTTATGGTTGATTCGGCTTAATCGGTTTGGTGAAACCGGTCCTTTGTATATAATATTATTTGGACCGGTTTCACCAACGCCAATTGTCTAATTCGCCATGGAACTGACTAATCGCGTTTGCTGTTTAGTGGAATTGACCACTTATGGTTGACACTCATGGTTGATTCGGCTTAATCGGGTTGGTGAAACCGGTCCTTTGTACATATTACTTAACTGTAATAATATGTATCATTCATATAAAAGATTTTATATCAACAAAATTGGCGCCAAGTTAAATTCCTCAAAATTTTATGTATCGATCGTAAAAAAGATTTGATATCAACAATTGGCGCCAAGTTAAATTCCATGTAATTCGGATACCAAATTAAATAAATAATATTGACTTTAATGATATGTATCATTCCTATAAAGGGTTTGATATATCAAGAACTGGCGCCGAATCCCATTTCTTTATCCAAATAATACTATCTTTAATTTTTATACAATGAAACCTAAGTGTACGTATATCTTACTGAGGGATCTTTCTATTCCAATCCAAATGGTTTAAATTCCTCTTAAATGAAATTATTATATCACAATTCATTCACACACAAAGTCATTTTCTCTTCTAATTAAAGTAGTGGGTATTTAATTCTCTTTCAAAATAATATACAAAACGTTACCACAAAGTTGCGTTACCTTGCTCAATTTATAAGTGTTGTCGCAAAAATTAAAGAATTAACCGTATAAAATGAAAAAATTTAATTTAAATAGAAAAATTTTTCATGTAAAAACACTTGGCACTACTAGATCGAGTAAGAAAAACTATAAAAGCAATTTAAAATTAGAATAGTAATTAATAAATATAAATAATAAATGTAATTATAATTTAAATGTAATAATAAAACTAATAATAAATTTAATCTTAACTTTACACTGAATAAGAATAAATTTTAATATTTATTTCTCTTTTATAATGATACGTTTACAAATCTAAATTTACTTTTCTCAGACTAAAACTTAATAGTATTCACAACGTTCATAATTTACACAACTCTATAATTCAGTCGCACACACTAGATACTTTAACTCT